TGAATTGACAAGGACGTCATTGGTTAAAGAAGGGGGCTTAAGCCCTACAACCATCCGATTGATTTTCACCACTGCCATCGCTAGGGGCCGAAGGCAGTGCTCCCATTGCTAGCGCAGCACAAGCACCTGAACAGCAAAGGCCTCAATGTCATGGAGACTGTTTCCAATGGAAGAATCACATAGATGTTTCAAGATGATCAATTAATTTAAGTTAGATTTTAAATATTAAATTTTAAAAATTTGCAACTCAATCTTTTAATTTTATAATTTTGTTATGATAAATTTATAATTTGTATTTTAAATTTTAACAATTTTTTTAATTCTCTAATTATATTAAAATTTAAAAAAATAAGTTACAAATTCATCACAATATGGTTGCAAAATTGAGAGATTGAGTTGTAAATTTTTAAAATTTAACATTTGAGGCCTAATTTAAATTAATTAATTTTTTTGAAATCTCTTTGTCATTCTTCCTATTATTAAAAGCACTGTTCAAATCCCAAACCATTTAGTTAGATAACGCAATTTGCATCCAAAAAGATAGCCCAATAATATGAAAAAAATAATTAACTGAAGAGTCAATCCACTCCTTCCAACAAAACAATAGATGTGAGGAGAATCAAGAGATAAACAAATTGTAAGGAAAGGAAACTGAGTGGACTAAAACGAGATAATACAAGAGTGAAAGATATTGAAATCCAGCACCATACTCCTCCAGTTTAAAATATAAGCATTTTTTTTTAGTTTAAAATGTAAGCTAAAAAAATACGGGAGGTTGCAAAAGTAGTTTTGGGAGAATCAAAAGGTTCTGATTTGAGAGATAAAGAGTCTTGGTGGTGGAATAATAGTGTACAGGACAAAATCAAGTATAAAAAGAACTGTTTTAAAGCCATACATTTGTGTAACAATGAGAAAAATTGGGAGAAGTACCGTATGGCTAAGAAGAAAACTAAGAGAGCTGTGGGTGAAGCTTGTTCTAAAGCTTTTGAAGAATTTTATAAGAGCCTTGAAACGAAGGAAGGAGAACGAAACATTTATAAGATTGCCAAGAGTAGAGAAAGAAAATCAAGAGATCTAGAACAGGTAAGGTGTATTAAGGATGAAGAGGGAAGAATTTTAGTTACAAATGATGAAATTAAAAATAGATGGGAGACTTACTTTTCCAAACTTTTCAATGATGGAGAGGGTTCATCTAGTAACTTGGAGGATTTAGTAATTGGTGAAGGAGAACAAAATTTATCATTCTATCGAATAATACGTGATAAGGAGATAAAGGAAGCTCTTAAGAAAATGACAAATGGTAGAGCCAACGGACCAGATTGTATATCTATTGAAGCGTGGAAATGTTTAGGTGAAGAAGGGGTGAGATGGTTAACTAAGTTATTTAATGTGATCTTATGGTCTAAGAAAATGCCTAATGAGTGGAGAAGTACATTAATTCCTATTTATAAAAATAAAGGAGATATTCAAAATTGTACTAACTATAGAGGGATTAAACTCATGAGCCACACAATGAAATTGTGAGAGAAAGTAATTGAGCACAGGTTGAGATTGGAGACAAGTATTTCTGAGAATCAGTTTGGTTTTATGTCAGGTAGATCAACTACAGAGGTAATTTATCTACTGAGGGGATTAATGGAAAAGTATCGTTGTAAAAATAAAGATTTACACATAGTTTTTATTGATTTGAAAAAAGCTTATGACCGTATACCAAGAGAAGTGCTTTGGAAAGTGTTGGAAAAAAGAGAGTACGGATTGCTTATATTAAAGCCATACAAGATATGTATGAGGGGGCAAAAACTAGTATAAGAACACCTAGTGATCGAACAAAGAATTTTCCTATAAAGATTGGATACATCAGGGATCATCTCTGAGTCCTTATCTGTTCAACTTGATCTTAAATGTTTTGACGGAACATATTCAAGGGGAAATTTCTAAATGTATGCTCTTCGCAGATGATATAATTCTTATAGCAGAGACAAGAGAAGAGGTTAATTGCAAACTTGAGTTATGGAGGAGGACATTGGAGTCGAAAGGTTTCCATCTGAGTAGGAGTAAGACAGAATATTTATATTATAAATTTGGTAAGAGACTATTCGACAATAATTTGGAAGTGAAATTGGGAGATCAAATTATACCTCAAGTGAAAAAGTTTAAATATTTGGGAGCCATTATTCAAAATGATGGCGAAATCAGTGGAGATATTTCACATAAGATTCAAGTTGGGTGGTTTAATTGGAAAAAAGCTAAAGGAGTTATTTGCGACCGTAAGGTGTCTAATAAACTTAAAGAAAAGTTTTATCACACTGCTATCAGACCGGTAATGTTATATAGTAGTGAATGCTGGGCTCTAACGAGACAGCAAGAGCATAAAGTTGGAGTAGCAGAGATGAGAATGTTACGATGGATGTGCGGACATACACAAAAGATAAAATTCAAAATGAGCATGTACGTGAAAAAGTGAGGGTAGCACCTATTGAGAAAAAAATGGTAGAAAATCGGTTGAGATGGTTTGGGCATGTACAAAGAAGACTAAGGGAGGCACCAGTGAGAAGAGTGGAACATATAACTTTGAGTCCGATTAAGAGGGGTAGAGGAAGGCCTAAGAGAACACTTTTGGAAGTTGTTGAACGCGATCTCTTAATTAATAATATTCCTAAAAGCTTGATAAATGATAGAGCACAATGACGTCTTGCAATCCATGTAGCCAACCCCACTTAGTGGGATAAAGGCTTGTTGTGTTTGTTGTTGTATCCTTTATATTTATTAACCTAGATATTTGTGTAAAATTGTCTCTCACTTATCATAAAGTGCATTGATAATTAGATTTAAGGGTAAAAAATAAAAAAAAATATTTTTATGAGAATGAGAATTTTATTGGTATGCTATTTTTTCCTAAAAATTTAATGTAGAAAAATATTTTATTTTTGATTTTTTTTAACTCAACACAACTAATTAATGGTGCCATGATGAGATCTTGTAGCACTTACCAATAAGGCCCTATTGATTAGTGTTATAGAAAAGAAAACAATTATAGACACTAATCTAATTGGATCCACTCTTCATAGATAAACATGGAATTTACGATCCTAGGTAAGATCGGTTCAGGATTTGAGGATCATTATCATTGTTCACTCCTCACCTCAACATCATCTTCTTCCTTTAGTCTAAGTGTCTATTATTTTTTATCTCCTGTTCTTTCTTATAATCATCTTTCTCCTTCCCACAACCACTTTATTCTCTCTGTTTCTGCTTCCTTTAAGCCTAAGACATATAATTAGGTAGTGAAATATCCTGAATAGAGGGAAGTTATGCAAGCTAAAATTTCTACTCTTGAGCAAACTAATACATGGATCCTGGTTGAACTTTCTGTAGGCAAATGTCCTATTGGTTGTAAATGTGTATTTAAAAAGAAGTTTAAGGTTAATGGTTCTTTTGACAGTTATAAAAGCTCATTTGGTCACTAAAGGTTATACATAAATTGAGGGAACTGATTGCTTTAATACTTTTTGCCTTGTAGCTAAAATAACCACAATTTGCTTAGTTTTGGCTTTGGCAACTGCCAACTCTTAGCTTTTAAAGCAGTTAGATATCAATAACGCTTTCCTTCATTGTGATTTGGATGAAAAGGTCTATATGATTCTTCCTCCTGGTTTTAATTCTCGATCACCCAACATTGTTTGTAAACTTCAGCAGTCTTTTTATAGTTTGAAGCAAGCTAGCTGCTAATAATTTGCTAAGCTTACAATTGCTCTTACTCATATGATTATCTCCAGTCTGAAGCAGATTATTCTTTATTTATCAATAAGATTGATTCTTCTCATTTATAGTGTTATTGGTGTATATTGACAACATTATCTTGGCTAGTAATGATTTTGTTGAAATTGTCAATATTAGAGGTCTTCTTGATTAGTCTTTTAGAATTAAGGATTTGGGTTTGCTTATCATCTAGTATATTTTTTTGCCTAGAAAATTTGCTTTAAACATTCTTTTTGACTATGGTTATCTTGCTTGTAAATTAGCTTATACTCCTATGGACAGGTTTGTCAAGCTCTCTAAAGATAATGATACTCCTATTAATGATCCATTTGCTCATCAGTGTCTTATTAGTCGTCTCCTCTAGTTGACAACTACTTGCCTCGGCATTGCTTTTGTTGTCCAATAGTTGTCTTCGTTTATGTCTGATTCACGTAGTATTCATCTGCAAGCTACTTATCATGTTCTTTGTTATTTTAAGTCTTCATTAGGTAAGAGCTTATTTTTTCATGTTGATCTTAAATTGAAGGCTTTCTCTGACTATAATTGGGTGGTTGTGTTGATTCTTGCCACTACATTATTGGCTTTTGTGTTTTTCTTGACAAAGCTTTGGTTTCTTAACGCTCGAAGAAACAATCCACCATTTTTCATTTCTCTTTTGAGGCTGAATATCAAGCTTTGGTTATGTGACTTGTGAGTTATGATAGTTTCTATTTTTGTTACATGACCTTTATATCTTTTATCTTTCTCCTGTACTAATCTTCTATGATAATCAATCTACTCTTCATAGTGCTTCCAATCTTACTTTTCATGAGAGCACTAAGCATATCTAGTTGACGAGTTGGATCATCATCTTGTTCACGGTAAGTTTCCAGTTGACATCATCCATTTGCTTCCCATCCACTCAAATGATCAAGTTGTTGACATCCACAGCCAGCCTCTTGGGACTTGTCCTTCAATGATCTCTTGTCTAAGCAGCACATGTGTGAAATACATTCTTTAGCTTGTGAGGTGTTACAACTATTTTACTCTCTGTTATTATTTTATTCTTTAATAGATTTTGATAAATCTTTTTCCCTTATTTATTAAAGTTAATAAAAACAAGTCACTATTTTTACAAATTATATTAAAATTGCTTATATTTTGGATGGGAGTGTTTTAATTGAAAGTCTTAATATATTAAACTTGATTTTAATTGATGTGAAATTTTTTACGTTAAATCGAGTCTAAGAGCATACAATAACACAAGGATATACGTAAAATATGAAAAATCATACAAATTATAGAATTCACGAATCATGAAACGTGCATCTCATTTTTAGAACTCGTAAAATGGGAGTCACGCAAATCGATAGAAGAAAGGGTGTGAAAATAAGAAGGAAAAGAAGGGGCGCATGCGTTAAGGTTGTAGAAGAAGAGAGGGGAAAGTATTGATCTGTTGGACTGCCATTTGTATGAGAGCTTCTGTTTCTTCTCCGCCATGGCTGCCACGTTCACTGTTGAGTTGAAAGCACAGCTGTTCCCTCCTCATTATGAGAGTCAAAGATGCCTCCGTCCCTCCGTCCCTCCCTCTATTTAATTTCTCTGCCCATCAATTCAGCTCCTTCCACTCTCCCCATCATCTTTCTCATGGACGCCCCTTCCTTCCCCCAGCCCCCTCTCGAAAGGAAGCCTTCCATTGATTCCGAACCCAAGACCTTGCTCCACCATGAAATGAAGCTTGCCAGGGTCTCTCTCTCTCCCCCCCCCCTCCTTCCTTCCTTCTTTTCTTTTCCCTTTGCTTGTCCTTCACTTGTCTCTCTCCTTCTCGCAGGAGGCGGCTCTCAAAATCATGACTACTCACAGCAGAGAGGAGGCCCTCAAAATATTCCTCGCGGTAATTACTCTGTCTTTTATTCTTCATCCCAATGCCTCCCTCTTTCTCCGCTACCAGATCTACTGCTTTGGCCATTTTCCAACATGACACTTTCACGCAGCGTCTCCCATATTGTCCCAAGCATGAACCACAACGAAATCTCATTAATTATTTCTCGGTCAATTTATGAAATGTTCACGCACTTATCAGATAATGCCTGTTGGTTGTAGGGTTTGGTCCCCGTTAAAATCCCGAAGCAAGCGGAGGAGGATGTTGTCGCGTCCGACGGCGATGAATCTTAGAATTGGGTTGGATCAGATTGCTGGGCAGCGTGAACGTGAGGGATTACAAATACAACAAGCTCGTTCAGTGGGCGCGCGTTTGTGTGTGTGTGGGTGTTTTAATCGAACTGGCTTTTTTGCCCCATATTTTATATGAAACAGTCCATCAGTAGGACCTGCAACTGTTGAATGTTGTTGTTGAACCTGTGTTTACTTTTAACATGACCTACATCCTTGCTGCTCATTTACAAATCCCATCCTCGTTTGCTTAATTGAAAATAAAATGTGTTGACGTATCTTCTCTTCCTTGACTTCGACGAGCACTATAAATGTAATTAATTGAAGGTGCTCTGGGCGCAGCGCCTACTTGGAAAACATTTCTCAAATTCTTTTCTGACAATACGTTAATCATAAATTAACATTTCCGAGAAAGACGCTCCTGTAGTCTAACCAGCGTCCAAACTCAAGAATGTTGACTTGTGAGTTGTGATTATTTTATATTCCATCCAGCCTGAACAGAGTGGATAAAGAAGATTTTTTTTAATTTTATTTATAAATCATATTATTACACTTCTAATAAATTTTGGCGAGAGAAAATATATTATTAAAATATGTGTATATTTAATAAAGATAAAATTAAGAATTTATTGAATTTTAGATGGAGTTAATTAGTTTTAAAATTTTTCTTGAGTCTAGTAAAATATGTTGGAAGTGAATTATAAATAAAAATTATTTTAATATTTTTACTTATAAATTATTTTATAAAATTTGTGTGAAAGTAAATAATAGTATATTTTTAATAGTGTCCAATGTGTTGGTATCAATATTGTTGACTAGGATGGCCAAAAAAAATGTTGTCGAGTAACTGCCTTGCTAAACATGTATTTTCAGTTGTCACCACCTTGTACATGATTTACGATGACTCGTTGAATCAAATTGTCGCTGGTGGTATATTTCTATAAGGTAAATTAAATATTCATAAATATATGGAATGCTATCATCAATTTTGAGGTTATTGGATTGTGACAAACAAGGTCTCAGGAGACGGACGTGTAGTTGTTGTTCGCATGAAATGGGAAGATGATGATACAATGAGAAGGAATAAAAATGAATCATATATAGGCGGCGGAGGATGAAGGGTGATGAGTTTAAAAGGATAGAATGGGCGGGGGTGAGGGTGAGTCAGAGGATCAATATTAAAAACGTAGGAGTGACCGATGAATTAGTTTCCACTAAAAATATGGCCAGGCATGGAAATCAATCCAATACAAAACAGCAAACTCCATAAAATCTGCTTTTAAAACTAGTCATGTATATGCATGCTATGAAGAAATTAAAAGGAAATTAAATCTAACACAGTGCTAATGCTTAATTAGCCTTCTGATACTATACGAGACGGCACTAATTTTGTGAGTTTTTTAAAAGGCAAGATTAATGAATAAGCGGACAGATAAGAATTGATGAAGCATATAATAGATATAGAGATGATGTGCCTGGTGGTGGAAAGCGCGAGGGGAGCACTGGGAGTTTGGGTTCAGAATGATGAAGAAACGTACATATATAGGAGGAGAGTACAAAGGGACAGGAATTAGGGGAAAGAGAGCAGATGAGCGGGACCTACAAAAGTCGAAAGTTTCTGTCTGTGTAGGAATCGAAGGCGGGCAGGTGAGCGTGCCAGCAACGTGAGGCATCCTTTGATTCCTTCACTACACCAGTATTCTCCACCGTTACATTTCAGTTCCTTTGCGCTATTCCTTCCTCTTCCGTATCAATTCTCATGCTCACAATTTTTATCATATCCAAAGCCGGCCGCTTCACGTGCATGTTGTGTGCCGGGTCCTCCAGCTTCAACAAGGTTGCACTTTAGAGTCAGCAATTCACACAAACTCAAGTTCTTTCCCAATGTACCCAGATTTACATACTACATCTACTCTTATCTCTATATACTTGCATCCACATTCCTCGCACTCTTGTCTAGTACTGTTGCCTGTTGGCTTCCTCTTCCCGACTCGAATAACTTTCTGGTTAAAGACGTCGTCCTTCTGCCTTTCCCGTGTTGAGAAAAATCTCATGGCGCTCAGCAGGCGACAGGCAAGGTTTCAAAGCCGTCATTCATTGCAATCCAGCGCTAGAACCATCACCCAGGAGAAGCTCGACACGCTAAGGGTTTGCTTGTCGTCATGTTCATCTCATATATATATATATATATATATTATGATCTGGCTCATATAGCTTTCATTCTACGTTATGCTTATATCTAAATGTGCGCGCGCGCTACTTATTTTATATATCTGTCTATATAGGCAGGCCGCAGCTGCAAGAGTATACATCAATGACGAGGAAAAGCCCAGCGAGCACTCCATGGTACGTACGTAATTAAGCAATAGGGTGTACAATAGAGCAAACGCGCAGAATGACGATTAGGGACAAAAGTTGGTAATGAAGAATTGAATGAAATATTGTTAAACTCGAGAATGGGAATATTTGGTTTCACAGGAACGGGTGGAGGGAGCAGATCCAGAGTATGGAGTGAAGCTACTTGCCGAGGCTGCCGTTGAAATGGCCAAAGCACAGGAAAAATGAAGCGCCCGTGTCTGGGTCATGGAAAAACAATTAGTCTAGATTCATCAAATTGATCAGCGTCTGCGTTATTATAAAGTACTTATCTATGCATGCACTTGATCTTCTAGTATTAATTACCAGAATGTTTTAATTCGAGCAGCGAGACACCCTTTGCATGTCCAACGCAACCAAATATACTGCTTTCTCACGCTCTACGCTCGTCGACACAGCGCTTCCGCCTCTTTCTATTTCATCCTCAATTTTCATTTCTGATCTTTCTAATGTCATTTTAAGGGATGAAATCTTCAATGCCGCCTCCTATCGCATTTCTTTCTATCTTCTAACTTCTCAGTTTAATTATACGGCGACTCACACCATTTCAAAATTTAATTTTCATTCTGCACCGATTCCAAAATTCCTTCCGTTAAATGACCGAAACGTTGAAATTTGAGAAAATGTAACAGATGCGAGAAGGGCAGAGGCACGAGTTAGCAGCAGTTTTGGACTCTCCCATATTTTGCATGATGTATATATTTGGAGTTGTTAAATTTCGTTATGGATCACTGGAATGTTGAATGAAAAATGCACAAACCATCCCTTTTTGTCAAAAAAAAAAAAAAAAAAAAAAAGAAGGCATAAACCGCTGGATAAATAAGAAATAACGAGCCCACTTTAATTAGACATACACACATACATGAAAGAAGAGACGCCTATTTATGCTCCGAACCAAATCTTTAAAAGATCTATCATTAATCGCGTGTCTATTGACAACGACCCAAATATGCAGAACAAACAAGATACCATGGCTCGAAAAGAAAATCCATCCGACCATTGCTCTTGTCTTGGCATCTACATCCTATTTATTTAATATGTGCAATTTAAAAAAAAAGTAATGATTATACATAAAAAACTTAAAATGCCTTATTTTTTAACATTCAACTTTTTAAAAAATACCTTCTATTTTTTAATGGAGGAAGTATTTATTATCACAAAATTTACATGGTGAAAAGAGTGAAAAATCTCACTCCTTATATGAATATACGAGAAAACACAATTTTAGGTTATTGCATTTTGCTCAAATTTTACTATAAGTTACTTTTTAATTTTTCAATGTTTCAAGTCCCTAATTTTTTTTATCTACACCTTAGGTCCTATAACACAGCTCATGAAGGGAAGTGCAGGTATTATAGGAGGATCTAAAATATCAAAAAAAAAAAACATGGACATATATCAAAAAAGTAAAGTTAGAGCTGGTAAAAAGGCTGGCCCGGCCCTGTAGGGCCGACCCTTCAAGAGCTTAGGCCTAAAAGAGCCAGCCCTTTTAAGCCCAAGTTTTCTTTAGGACCCTGATATTTGAAGCTCGGTCCTTGACATAGCGAGTTCAAGGCCGGCCCTGCGGGCTTTAGGCCCTTTTAACTATTTTTAATTTTTTTAAATTTTTTAATCAAATAAAAAATTACTTCATGCTAATATAATACTTAATCAAGAAAGGTACAAAAAAACTAACTAAATAACATCTAAATGAACTAAAAACACAAATAAAATAATAGTAATACAATAAGTAATGGATCGGCTAAGCCGACAAACACCCAATCAAAATTAAAAGAATTAATGTTGAATTGAATGAATCATTATCATGAATCTAGATGAATTAGGGAATTTAAGATTGTATTTTTTTTTAGAAAATAGTAGCCAAGAATTTCTGTATGAAATTTATATCAATTAATAATCAATTGTTGTCAAAACCTGAATGAAAAACAAGCTACAATAAACTATTATTAATTTAAAATGAGTTGTTATTAAAACCTAAATGAATACTTATTGATAAAGGCTAACTCGAATTCACTAGTGTCTACTCAAATTTTGACAACAAGTAATCCTTGACTGATATAATTTTTGATCAGTGATTCTTCATTGCTATTTTTTCTTCTTTTTTTTTTGCCTTCCATCCTCAGTAAATATGAGCTAATATGTGATGTGGAGTAAGATTTAGTTTAATTTTTTTTCAAATCTAAAAAGAGTAAAAATTATGAGAATTAATTAAAACAAATGCATATACGGGCTTAAACGGGTTGGCCCTCGGCCCTGCAGGCTGGCCCTTTTAAGCCCTAGATTAAACGGGCCAGCTCTTTTAAGCCCGATTTATCATTTTGAGTCTTATTTTCAAGCCCAATCCTACTCTTATACGAGCTTAAACGGGCTAGCCCGACAGGCTCAGCTCGTTTTTCCAGCTCTAAGTAAAGTGTAGAAATTTAAAGTTACATTTTTCCTAAAAACACAAAGTACAACTAATTTTATACTATGTAATACACGTAAAAACATATTTTGGTCCCTTAAGGAAAGTGATCGATCAAGTCAAAACATCAGCCTTTCAACCAAAAGTTTCAATAATACTTGGCTAACAAAGATTAAAGAATTGTTTGAAAACATTGTTAAAGGGATATATAATGGAAAGTGAAATAAAAAAGGAAAAAAGGAACGGAATGGGAATAGGTACTAAGCAACGTTGTTTGGTATTTACCTGATCTCCAAATAATTAATGTTTAGTGCATACATGTAAATGAAATAAGGAAAGCAATGAAAATAAATAAAACCAAAATGACCCTACTAATTAGAGATGTAGCTGCTAAATTTTCAACTTGGAGTTTGGCATATATGATAGATATAGAAAAAGTTGCAGAGCTCACGATCCCTAATCAAATACCAAAATGACCGATGGATTAATATTTCCTTTAAACAAAATTCTGTTTTGCTCCTTGATCCATGCCCTTGCCACTCCACCAAATGAAAAGATCAACGGGGTAAACAGGAGAACCAATGGAAGCATCAGCGTCTGTGAAAAGGCATCGCAGACCGGCAGAAAGCTGGTTTAATTGATACCCTGTGTTATATAATTAATAATTTCGTTATGTTTCCAAACTCGGATATGCTGTACTTGCCATCTAACGTAAACAATCCACGTCCCATATATAACGTACAAATGCTACGTGATGTAAATTGAGAAAGCATTTTCCCCCCTCATTATGGACCCCCTAAAACTCTGTCCACCCAGATTATATTATGCAAATAGCTAGTAGCAGAGGACGCCTTTTTCTCCTTACCTTTTTGCAGAATTTAATTATGATTACGGATGGCATTACACTTTCAGTGACTTTGGCAGTCATCAGTCAAGGGAACATCCTTTCTCATGGCGTTTCAACCACAGCGAGGAATAAAGAAGTAAACGAGAATTCACCCTCAGGGGTCCAGTAAACTACATTACGATAGCCAACATTTAGAATGAAACTACAGCAACTATAAGAAGAGACTGCGTACGTAGAGCTAACACGCGTCCCAGGTGAACACGTGCCCTTGTTAAGGTCCATTATTATTATTGAGCAATAATTGCTTCTTCAGTAGTAGGAGGGGGTTTTGCGGCGCCCATCTCCATAGATTCGTTCTCATCTTCAATCGCTGTGGTGTCCTTCTTGGAGCTGCTTTTCCTGTCACGGTAGATCATGTACAGTACCAGCTGCGTGGCCCCCAGCGCCGAACCCACACCGTTCGGTACCTGCAAACAACAAATCTCTGAGTCTCTGCCCCTATCTCCCCTGTGAAAGTTGCTTTGTCTCTTAGCCATTATAAAAATTACACTGTCATTGATACTTACCGCCACAAATGGGTCTCGGCCCAGCAGCCCGTAGGTGAACCAGGAAGTGCCGCACAGGAACACAAACAACGACAAGAAGAAAGGCATGAACTCCACGCTCTTTGTTCTGATCACTAGCCTCTGCATTCAATGCCACTGAGCAACTGTCACGTGGGGTTCAATTTGATTCCATCCGGAAATTAAAGAGCTTATTAATTAGCTTACCATGATGGAGAGGGGTGATCCGTACATGATAATGGAAAATATGGTGGCGGCTAAGCCGCAAAACAGCTTTCTGGGGCCGCCGTGAAGGGCAAAGAGGGAGACGAACACCACGGCAGAAAAGACTGCGAGGACCAGCGCGAATAGCCCAAGAATCTTAGCCTTCTCTTTCTTGGGTGCGAAAATGATGAAGATCAAAACGTATGTGCTTTCTATCACGGCCCCGGTGCCGTTGATGGTTGTGACCAGTATGTTGTGAGGCGACACAAACGGTAGGCCATACCTGAGATTTTGTGAGCGTATCAGCAGGGGTTAAAGAACTTCAAAATTCTAACTTTAGCTTGTAGGCTTATAGCAAGAGTCAACCCATTTTCTTTCTTTTTTCCCGCTTTTCATCTGGTTGAAAAGATATAGAAAAGATGCACGAGAAAAGATAAGGATGTTTGTTTTGTTGGCCAAGATTGAGAAATAGACAGAGAGATAAAGAGAGAGATCAACTACTTTCAAACTTCGTGTCATTACTTCTTAATGACAAGATTGATATCGTATCTCGACTTTTAACAAGTTAATTAGTCTCCGTGAACGAAGGCAAATTGACGATAATGCCAAATTGACGATAATGCCATCTTAAAGATTAAAGAGAGTACGCGTGATTTAATTTAAGTGGGGATTTTGGGGCTGGAAAGGAGAAAGAAAGGAAGGAAGCAGTAGAAGGAGCGAGAAGGTTACCAAGCAGAAAGTAGGTTGTTCAACAGAGTCATGACGTAAGGAATTCCCGAGAACTTCTCCGTGGATTTGTTCTTTACGATTCTCTTGAATGTAATCCTGAGAAAACCAAGATTTCTCACTAAACTTTCACCCACAAATGGTAATTTTATGTACATCCACAGAAAGAAAGCAGAAAGAAGAGAATATAAACATCGCCAGTTGTGTTCAGACGCATAATTAAAGAACGGAAAAGCTTCACATGGTAGCAGGGACACACACACACATGTATAGAGAGGGAGGGAGAAGGAGAGTCGTGGGATGCCTACACTGGAGCCAAGAAGAGGAAAAGTGCAGAAGCATTTCCTGGAACAAATAATCAAACAAGAAGAATGAGAGGAGAAGCGAGAGGGAAGTAAAAATCGGAAAAGAGTAAATGAGGAAAAACCCACCAAATATGCCGAACAAGAAATGTGCAATATTCATGATCCTGGACCTCGTGTTTTGAAAAAGGGGTGAAGGCGAAGAAAGAATGCTTGCTTGTTTGGAAACGGGAGGAGATTAGAGTAAGAGGGTGCGCTTATATATATAGGAAAAGAAGGAATCACGAGAGGATACTTGGTGGGTGCAAATGGTAGTAGATCAGAGTGGTGTTTGATCTTATCCGCGGAATTCGATAACGAGAATCGTTTCCTGTAGACGCTCTGGGCAACAAATGGACGGGTGGGTATGGGTATGGGTAGGTCACAATGTTTTTAGCAGGAATGACAGCTAATTTTTCTTTTGGATTGAGATCTGTTTGCACAAGATTTTTCTGCCTGGATATTATAGATCTATTTATGTGAAGTTAATTGAGTGACGAGGCAACTCAAATAAGTATATCAATCTAGTTATTTATTATAACAAGCTGAGAGATTTGGATGGGGGAGGAATATGTGTTGTAAAAGTGAAAAAGAGGATGGATGGCAAAAAAATGTATGATCAAAATATCATATCTCAATCACGCAAAACGAAATCAATGCAGAGGGCTCGAGCATCTGTATCAGTATCAGTATCAGCCTCCCGATTCGATCCTCGCCAACTGCATAAGGGTCCCAAAAGAGAAAAGACCCGACTTTTCACCTATGAATATATGATCAAAATATCATATCTCCCATTAAATGTTGGCCATTTAATTCATCTAGGGCCAATTTGCCCTAATCTAAGACCTTTTTCATTTCGTTCCAGTATTCTTAAATTTATTATATATCTATATATATTGATTATACTGAATTAAACAAAACTCTTCCAAACTTTTAACTCAGAAAATCGATTATATTTGGAATTTAGTATCTAGGATTTTATTATATTTTGAAGTATTATATTAAATAAAATGAGATATTTAGACTAACTATATATTTTTATATTTTGATTTTAGCTAGGTCATTATTTGAACTAGATTAGATCCCGTGCGTTGATCAGGTTTAATTTAAGAAAATCAAAAGAAGTAATAGAGGTAATAACTTCTAAAAAATTTTAATTTAAAAAAAATAATGTTGTCTTATTGGACAAAATAAAGTTTTGTTTAGATATATATATATATCAATTTTTATTTTAATAAGAATTAACAGAAAAAAAAGTATAACTTGAATCATCTGCTAGATCATCCATAATGTATTAATTCAAGTACCAATCAATTCAGATTACAAGATTAATTATAATAAATAAAATGTCAAACATTTATGTTAAGAGTAGGTAAAAAATCATACAGCAGATGAAATAAAATTTTAACATAATAATATTTTATTCACTAAGAGTTAATTTAAAAATATGTCATGGATAAGCATACTTGATCATAGGTTATAAAATTAAAGAATAGAGAGATTTTAATTATTTTCAATGATAATGAACCGTGTATATTATTTGAATTTTTAACAATTTCAAATATTAATTGATTAAAAAGCGGTTGAATGATTAAATATTATATTTTAGGTGTTTAGACTCAAACTTCTTTATGCAGTGGGTCAGATCTTGAATTAGATACCCATTTGTGTATTTCTGGTTATAGGAGTTTCTTCATGTGAAATGTATTTCTGAGGAAGAGTATCATTCTCGGAAGAGGCCATTGCTTATGAGATTGGTTGTTCAAGGACGCAGGATAATTCAAAACAAGAATGGTCAGTGCCTGACTTGAAGGACAGCTGGCTTTGTTGTGGAAGAAGAAGAGCTGTTTCGGTTTTTTTTTTTAAATGCCAGGTGTCAAACGATCAACCTTGATGGCAGAGTAAAATTACACCTTTTTTTAAGTTTTGGGATGATATTACTTTAATGAAAAGTTAAGGGTACATAATGTTTCTTTTAGAGAACTTTCTGAACAATTTCGCCTTTTAACCCAATAACAAATACAACTTAAATTAATGTTTTATTTTCCCAAACAATCCCATACACTCTGAGCTATTTGTAGACAATCCCTTGTACTTTATTTATATGCAAATAAATATTCTATCATACTATTCTATTATTTTACTAAAATAACAGATAAATTAAATGATATGATATATGAGAACTATTTGCACGCATGTAAAAATTAAGAGGGTTCGCTCTAAAATTTTAAATGCCATGAATATTATATGCACATAGCTTAAACTTTTAAATGTCTTGATTTCTGGTCTCTTGTGTGCTTTGTATGGGCATTTAAATTAGCACATCAAATGTGTGCTCCTTCAACTTATTCTTCGTTACGCCTGATTTGGTAATATGGAAAAGCTTTTGATAGAAATAAAAATGGAAGTGGAATTAAAAGTGAAAAAGTGAGATAAAATGAAAGTCTAGTATGCATATGAATGTGAGTTATAAATTTTATTCAATAGATATATTTATATTTTGAAAAGACTTAGAAATATTAAAAGACGATTGAAGCAAAGCAAGCGTCACCACCACCCATTCACCACGCAGGCCCTCCGTCGACCCGCAAGAAGCATCTACTATCGACACCAAAGCTTCCTTTCCATTGATAACCCTCAGCTTCTGGGCCCTTCATGCCCAAATTTTACACACCCATATATACCCTTAGAGCAATAACTAGATTTACAAATATATGAGATCTTCAACAATAACATCTACAAGGAAAATAGCACACATGCACTCTGTTGCCGCGGCGTTCCTCCCCAATGAAGATTCACGCCTCCACTAATTTTATTTAGGGTAGTGTTTGGATTTAAAATTTCACATTTTAAATCTTATATTTCAAATCCTTGTATTTCAATTGCTTTATTTGGATAGTTTAAAAAATTTTAAAATTCTAATATTAAAATTCTTTAAATTTCAAATTACCATAATCAAATTCTCTTTTTAATTTTTTATTGTTTATATTTACCTATAGGCCAATAAAAATTTTAAAATGAAAAAATAATAATATTTGGTATATATTTTTCCAAGGAAATGATAAAATGAATCTTATTGAACAAATAATAGAAAAGTACCACAAAGTAAAACAGTTACTCCGAAATTCTTTGGGACTTGTAAATAAGACCCATACCATTCTCCCTCCCCTTTATATATAAGACTAGAAGGAGTAATATTATTCATTTTTGAGAGAGCAGAAAAGAAAAAAGAAAAAAAAGAAAAACAGAAAATGAAAGGGTCATTGATATGCCACGCTAGACTTTACCCAAAGGAATATAATCTTTGCATCAAGCCTAGTAGATTTTCATTTCAGTGCACAAATAAGAAAGATATTTGCATTATAAATCAAATTAATACACACACAAAGGGAGACGTGTGCAATTATACCTACATACATACATTGCAAACCTGAAATATGGACGAGTCATTGCTTTAACATACTGCGCTATCACTTGCATGGTAGATAATTAGTGGGGAATGTCATCTAAAATTTTGCTAGGTTGAGCAATGATTGGATAGAGAACATGCAAGAGAAATTTGAAATAACGTGGGTTTAGAAGAGATTTCAAATAATGAGGGAATTATGATAAAATTTGATTTGGATTTGATCGAAATCCAAATCCACATATTTTTAAATGCCCAAACAAAAGATTTGGCTTAAATAATCCAAATCTAAATTCATAGCTATCTAAACATAACATAATATTATATTTGCACAGATGCGATGTAAGCGAGATTGTAAAGAATGGGATTGGGGAATGGATTGATAATACTAAAATCAGAGAGATCAAGCTTGGTGACAAAGGTGTAAGTGCGGTAAAAGTTAGAACAAAGGTGGGCATCACATTGTTCGGGAGGAGAGGGAGGAGTGAGTCATTCATTGAAAGCCAGAACATGATGGGAGACAGGCAAAGGGTAAAAGTGATAAAATGAGAGTTGAAATGAGACAAGAACTGTAATGACTTTCATCATTAACTTAGATTAATTACAATTAAACTAGACCACACTTAATCAATAAGGATCAATCTTGGCTAACTAATATTTTTAATTCAAAAAGAAGATCTAGAAGTTGGGATCCCATTATCATTTAACATGAAATAACATAACTTGATAATAATAACCTTTCTATCTTTCATGAATCAGAGTGAAATGTAATATGAAAAAATGGAATACTCTACTTAACATTGAGAAAAGGGACAAGAAGAATAGAATAGTCATTTTAGAATAATTGCACTATATTCACCACAACCAAGGGTACTTTCACTGTGGCCAACTACACACTGACTCACTCATCAGGGCATAAGGCACAAATGCCAACTTGCAGTGGCCTACGACCCTACTCACCACAGCCAACCCTCTCTTACAAACTCACCATGACCATAATCATTATTCATCGTGACAAGCCCCACGTTAACGGTACAATGCAATAGACAATAACGGACTTATGCAATCTACCATGTCACAAATTTAACACATAAAATATATTTTCAATACTCAACTCCTTAATCATAAAAAAAAAGAAGGGGAAGCCTCTAATTCATAATCATTATAATCATTTCACAACAATCACATTTTTCTCACTCCTTATTGGAACTAGTATTTTAGCCCTTTTATGGAATTCACAATTAATACATATACATTTAGAATCCAAAATACACAACTAAATTCCACAATCATATAGTGCAAGTAAACCAATAGCATATGCTTTCTTAATAGTCAATATCAAGCAAATTATACACATAATAATCAAAATGAAAATGAGGCCTACAGATAGGATAGTAATCCTATATATGCCTCACATTGTTTCCCCCAATCTTAACCCGATAAGCTAGCTCCTTTAATATTGAATAAAGAGAGTGAGCACAATCCACTCAGTAATCAAGGTCTATCTCAACTTATGCTAATGAACGTCAATCAATTTAAATACCAGTGAAAATCTATTATCATATTCACATCATTTTAACATGTTCAAAACACATTCACATTTCACATCCATATTAGCATATATTCATGAGATAACAACGTGATAATTCAATTTGACATGGATATAAAGCTAATCACATGATTTTTATCACTAGAATAACAATATAGACAACCACATGCCCTTTTTATCACAATGTGCATGATCACACTTTTCTTATATTCTCCTTATGCCTCTGACATAAAATCGTGAGCTATTACTCATTAGGATCATTCATGTGACAAAACTACCCTAACTATTCACACATGAGAAGTTACTTGGTTAAAGTTACTTAACTCACTCGTGAGTCACTGTTTCTCTGAAATCTCACATAATAGGGTGTCGTTCTGCTTAAATTGGCTTCCTCATCAAACAAGTAAAAACTAGAGTAGGTTCAAGTCTTT